TAGTTTATAAGTTAAATATTTAGTTTATAAACTATGACATTTATAAGTGTATGAATCATATGGTGAAAAACTGACTTTGAAAAATAAATCTGTTATTTTTTTCTTATAAAAGTCTAAATAAAACCAAGGTGGTAATTTTTGATTGTGTAACTTTACAAACGGCACCCCATAGTTATCCTCTGTTCTGACCCCCTTGTTTGTGTGCACGGTGTTTCTCTGCTCAGAGTTGTGTTTTGTGTTGCGTCTGCATGAGTTGCAGGGCAGAGGGGCAGAAAGGAATCGACCAGCCTTCCACCCGAGATGGAATTGCCAGCTGTAAATCTTCGGGCCGGACGTATTTATGAGCAGAGACGCTGGCCTTTCTGCCGGCTCATCACAGAAACTGTCTGCTGCTGAACTGTGTGTTCGGATTCTGCTGCCTTCATTGGTCCATTCACTGGATGCAGAACTGTAAGGCCGCATGTAAAAGCACYGAGCCTCTAAAATATGAGTTATTTTCATGAGTGAGATTGTGCACAACCTTATAGTCAGGGTTTGACCAAAATGGCTACAACTAARAGATTTCTCAACATAAAATGAGTAAGGAACATCAGTTATACAATGCGTTTTTTTTTTGAGAAGAAGAAACTACAATTAAAACTGAGATAAACAAAACCGAAAGAAATCTTGTCTGTATAAAAAATGTATTTACTCAAAAAAGCTAGAGGAAAAAAGTAAAACTAGAAGAAAAAACAAGTTACAAAATAGCTACAAAGGAGAATATACGTTRATAAAAATTATCATAAGTTATGAATTATTTTGCTTTATTAACATTAAAATATGAAAATGGGACATGACTGAAGTCATTATACGAAGGACAAATCAAGCAGCATATTGAGGCTTGTCAGTGTAATTTTATGGGCTGCTGGCTGATAAATGATGTTTCATCCTCTGTGACGTCTCTGTGTGAATGACAATAAAGTTAGAATTCTAAATATGCATGTCTTACAAAGAAATTTGTATTTTGCATTGATATTTGAGCTGTTTCAACTCATCCATCTATTATCTTTTACTGTACCTACTTCTTCCTTTCAGGGTCACTGGTGCCCCTGCCAAACATTCACTCTCTCACTCCTAGCTTTATTTAGAATTTAGAGTTACCAATTACCTTTTAAACATTCATATTTTAGGTCTCTGGCAGAAAACCGATGTACCTGGAGAAAACCCATGCATGCATGGAGAGAACATACAAACTCTGGCTGAGATTCAATTCAACTAATCTGCTGGGAGACATTAGCTCTACTAACCTGGTAAAAAACAGCCCCTTGTTCTACGCTTTGCTTCGTAGAGGGTCTGGACTCTCGGCTATTGAGAAGCGATTTCTTGCTGGAGGCGTGGCCTCTGTTGAAGTTTAAAATGATTGGATCTGATCGCTAATGTTTAGCCGGCATATGTGGTGCACCAAACCATGAAGGTTACTAAGCTAAGCTTAGCTAAGCTAAGAAGCTAACTGGAAATTGCGTGCGCTGTAAACAAGCATCCCCTACTGAGAGGAGAGAAGAGCCAAATGAGATGGCTGTAAATGAGCGTTGCATGCTTTCTGAGACAAGTTTAATTGAATTTGGAAGTCTTGTCAACACGTACTGGCTTAAACGGYGCAGAAAATCAACATCGTCGTTCACGACTCCTCTTCCTGTTCGCTGATTGGCCTGGTTGAAATTCTACCAGAGAAATCCTCGAGGGGGGAAATCCCAGACAGAGCAGAGAAGGGGAACTAGAAAGCAAGGCAAGGGCTGGGTTTAGCTCTACCAACTGAGCCACCATGCTGCCCTTGTTTAACCTTCAAACATTTTTTCAAACAAACATTTTATTTTCACAATCTTTACATTACTTATGCCATTTATTCAAAAAAATGATATTCTGCATGTTTTATTCAAAAATAAAAGCTGTCCCAAAGGTTCTTGAATGAAGATTATAACAGTCACCCTTCAAAAATTCTTAGGTTATTATTTTAAATGTTCTTTCTTTGTTTCTACAAACTCAATCTAATCAGTACTGATCTGTCATGGTGAAGCAAGAGCTGAGCCAGAAGGTCGGTCTACGTTCCTACCCTCATCTATGGTCACGAACTTTGGGTAGTGACTGAAAGAACGAGATCGTGGATACAAACAGATGAAAAGAGTTTCCTCTGCAGGGTGTCTGGGCTCTCCC